TAACCACTGTAAAGATGTTATTGGAAATGATAGCATCATCATCCAGAAAAGAGTCAGCATTAACATTCGTTGTCCTATAGCATCTTCACACTGAACAAATTCAACCATTCTTCCCTTTTACTGTGTAGAAAGGAGCACATGATGTTTGACATACCAAACATCTACACAAAATAGGATGGATAAATATTTTAAGCTGCCTATATTGTTTGAAAAATTCCAACATTAGCTATTAGATACCTATGGCACACTGTTGTTAGTAGGACATTTTAAATACAGGAAATATAGGTTGTGCCAATGCTGTTTTGCTATAATTGTGGGTGGAGGCCTGAGAGCATCTGAGACCTGAGAGCATCTGAGAATCAGGAATCAACTTGAAACCAAGCAGAACACCATTCCTATTCAATAGAAATGAAAAGAGATCAAAATGACAAATCTTTCCAGAGCCAGGAAGTATTTTTAACTTGTCAGCCTTTCCTTTGTAATAAGTATAATCAAGCTCTTAAGATGCTTAAAGCTGAGATTTTAAATAATGAGCTCCAGGAAGCCTCCAGCTCTAGCTGCAAGCTTGTCATTGTTTTCAATGAGAGGGCTTGTTTATATTTTAAAATGATCTTATTAGCCTAAAAGCAAAAAAAAAGAGTGAATTCTCTGTGTCTAGAAACTTTAAGCATGGAGAACCAATGCTGCAGAAAATAACATGCACTAATCACATAAAGCATCTTTAATATCTTTGTCCCCCCAAGTGTTTTTAATGCAAAAAGCATTCTGGGAACTGCTTCTCCCAGTTGGTCCACATCACAGCCATATCATTGGATGCCACCTCACTTGCAGCATTTATGACTAAAGGAGTCAAGTGGTGCTTTCGATAAAGATTCATGTTTCCCTTTTATGGTGCATGAATGTCCAAGGAACTTTTTGTGAATACAGCAGTATCCCTTACACTGTCATTTGTTTACAGTTCAATCTATTAACCATAGTAATTTATGAAACATTTACAATTCCTTTACATATAATTTAGAATGCATTCTTCTAAATCACTTAGTCTCAAAACGTGGTTACCAAAGCAAAACATAAGCAACTTTTGGGTACTTGTTAGAAATGAGAACTCTTCACTGTCAAATCAGACCTTCTGAATGAGGCATTGAGCTGATGGTGCTTTGCCCGTCCTCCTAGTGACTCTGCTGTGCACTCAAAGTTTGCATTTCTCTAACAATTTGCATGTAAGAGCTGACTGTATAGCTCAGTGGTAGTGCACTCATAGAATGCATGAGGTCCTGGGTTCTATCCCTAGCACTATGAAAAGCAAAAACACCCATACAGCTTATCCAGTCAAATGTATAAGATGTAAACAAAGCCCAACTCAAATATTTCCATATTGACTGCAAACTTAAATGCTTTCAGTACTTAATCACAAAAGAAATTGTACCCATTACATATCATATTGATTGCAGAGTCAATTGATATTTTGACGATAAAACAGGCTATAATGTTCTTACTACTTTTATTGATATTTATTCTTATGCCTCCTATTTTTATTCTTTCACAGTCCTGGAATTAAAACATCGTTGAGCTGCAGATACTTTTACAACCTTTCAAGGTTTTTGTAATTCAACCAGGAAGGAAAGAAAAAAGAATAATCTTAGGAAGACAGGGATACAATTCAAATGGATTGTTAAGCACTTGATTCTGATTGGTTAGTGAGAACTGGAAGCTAAGATCAAGGCGAGTTGAACTCTAGCAGTTGTCTACCTGGCTGTGTATCTTATCAAAATCATTTTCAGTTTGTCATAGGGCTCTATCTGGTTCTTGTTGTTTCTTTAACATTCTATCCCAAATGTGGTGGCTTATGCAATTAAAAAGCAAACTTACTATGTTGGGGATCTGAAATTTAGAAGAGGTGCCTTCTTCTGGAGGTTCTGGGGAAGATTTGAATCCTTGACCTTTCCAGCTCCCAGAGGTTGCCCACATCCTATCACCACTGCATCATCTGCCATTCCACATCTGTTTCTGTCTCTTATAAAGACATATAGATTATATGAAATCCAACCCAGGGGAATCATCCTCTATCCAAACCCTTGTTTTGATTATATCCACGCACTTCATTATGTAAAGATTTGGGGGATTAGAATATGGGCATCTTTGTGAGCCATTCTGTTTACTACAGGATCCTCATTGTTATCTTTCATGTCTATTCTTTTAAGAAAATTTGAAGATGAGGTATCCTTTTGGTTTCATTTGATTTCCTTTAATTTTTGACTGCACATGACCCATTACCACAGCTTTGTAATAAAAGACGCTTGTCTTCTCTCAGTGTGTTAAAATATGGACCTTGTTTCTTGGCATTGGGTTAGAATTAGTTAAGTCAGGAAAAGAGTTGCCTTTCAGAGAAACAAGAAAGTGAATCTGGAACTTTAGATTGACAGTTAACTAAGTGTTTATTTTGCAAAAACAGTTCAATCACATTGGAAATCACATGACAACTGGTGCTAATTAAATGCTGAAATCTCTGTTACTTCTCCTTTGTAGAAGACCACAAATGCTGATAGAGCCTATTTTTGGAAGAGTTTCTATTGTTTCAAGAACCAGTTGACTGATAAATTAGCTTACTTCATCATGTATTAAGCAGATTGAAAATTTCATATATATATATGCTTAACATTCAGAAAATGTATTTAACAAAAATACCCGTAAAATATCTATTTGAAAATACATATATGTGTGTGTGTGTGTGTGTGTGTCTATGTACGTACGTATGTATGTATGTGTTCCCACTTGTTTAAATAAATTTAAATGTAGAAGTAACAGTCATTTCTCATATTTCTCTTTTATATTTGTATATTCTCTGTATATTAATTCATTTCTTACAAGTATCAAGGCATTTTACCAATAGAAGTTGTATCATGAAAAATAAATTTTACTGCTATAAATAATTATAGCTTGAAAATGGAAGCTTCTTTAAGATGACTTCCTCCTCATTAGCAGTACCCTTGCCATTTAAAAGCCTCTCTTACTTTCTGGCAACAATGTGATGTTACAGACGTATTGTGATTTTATCCTGTCAAGAATGCTGAATTGAATATCCTCTAATGGTTCCTTTTCCATATATATTTTAATAGGGTATTGTGAAGGACCAAATTCTTTGCTTGCAGGAATCTAGGGGCTTAAAAACACCAGCTTCTGTACTGTAACTCTTGGTAATTGACTGAGATGAAAGGAAAATACTTAATGTGTGTATAAAATCTTAATCCACCCAGTATATCACATCAAGTTGTTATCAGGCATTTGAGTAGCTATAACAGATCAGTAGTAAGAGGTGTTCATTCCTGAAGGATAGTGTACCGTTTTGCTATCACAGACTTCTGTTCTGACTATGGGATCTGCATCATCATAAAAGAGATGATCCCAAATGATAGTTTCCTTTGTATCCTGCATAAGGAAAAAGAATGTAGATTTATTTCTACTTAGTGTACATGTGTGTGGTGTGTGGGTGAGGGGGTGTCTTACTATGAAACCAAAGTTGGCCTTGAACTGGTAGTGGTCCTCCTACCTCAACATTCATAAATACAGGTGTGTACTACCATGCCTGATTTTTTCCCTTCGGTGTTGGTGGTAGAATATGCCCCATGCATGTTAGATAAATGCACTATTGACTTACTCCCTCAGTCCTGTCTGCTGGCTTTTTTATTTTTCCATTCCTTTATTGTGACATCAAACTTGTAGAGCATATGTTAACAGACATTTCATGAGTTCATTCATACTTCTCCAAAACAGCTCAGCAGCTAGAATACTACATATGTTGAAATGCTTTCTGAAGACTTGTTTGTAGTGTAACTACAAGATTCTACTTCCAGGCTCTTTGTGACAGTACACTGTTGAGAGTTTTCTAGAGTATAATCCTCCCATGACTCATTACACAGTTCTTGCCTGCTCCAAATCCAGGACCGTGTCCGGGGCTATCTTCCTCTCACCAACAACTACATAAGACTCCAAGTCAGATATGCTTTCTCCCTGTGCCTGGGTACTCTTCCCAGTCTGGGAACTTGGACTGTACATGACACCCCCACCCCCAGGTTCATGTGTGATAAATGCTTAGTTCAGTAGAAATGTTCAGAGGTGGGGATTTTGGGAAGGTATTGGATCATATGTGCTCTGGCATCATCAATGGATTAACACATTCATTGATGAATCATAAGTTCCTGGGATATTTGGAGGTGATGTAAACCTGAAGCAAGGATTGGGATAGAGCCTTCATATCAGCATGCAGGATGGACCCATGTACATGAGAAAGTAAGGAAAAAGATATGGGTTGGAGAAATCTAAGTAGCATTGATGCTTTGGAAGTAAAAATGTTTGACTGGGCTATGGTGTACTCCAGAGGAAAGATTTAATGGTCCAGCTCCATTCTCCTCTGCTGAGCCAAGTCACTGGGTGGGAACAGCCTGAGGAGAAGGTGTCCTTGGCCTTGAAACCACAGATTCAGACAGTGACATCCAGAGCCTATCAGTGGATGGTTTTGTGTGCAGAAGGTTCTTTTTTTGTAGAGTTTCTTCCATAGCTGCTACATAGATGCTCTATATACTATGAAAACAATGATAAAAGTTCCTCCTGTGGGCTAATGTAAAAGAAAATGAGCCACATACCAAGTCATGAATGCTTTTTGGAATGTCTTATTGTTTGGTCTTGTCCCTTTAAACCTAGGTAAACTGAAAAAGTGGCATTTGTCAGTCATACGTTATCATCATGTCTGCTGGGTTCATAATAGATTTCTTAGCTCCACAGAAATGTAACATGGTCACTGAATAAGATGTGGGTGGAATAACGCCTGTCCTCCATAATGACTATATATTTAGTGTTAGCTTTTCACTCTGTCACATCCTTAAGTATATTGTAATACACCCATTTTCATTGATTTGCACTTATCCATATCTTTAAGAAGCTTGGATTAAAGAACAGGCTATTGAGAACAATTGTTAAGAATCTCTCTTTTTGGTTTGCCACAGTGTATTATCTAGCATGACAGATGCAGTGTTAGCTCGAGTGTATAAACAATCAGATCTGGACATCCTGGCTAAAGAAGCATCTATCCCAATTGTCAACGGACTGTCAGACTTGTATCATCCTATCCAGATCCTGGCTGATTACCTTACACTCCAGGTTGGTGTATTTCTTTGCTTTACAAAACAGAAAAGTTAACAAATAATTCCTAACTACCATCAAGTGGAAGCTTATTTAAATGATGTTTAGTTGTTATTATGAATAACTTCTATTTTAAAAAGTATGCATATGTGTGAATATTACAGATCTAGAAAACAGAACATTGCTCTAAACAGACTCTATGACCTTTTCTTCTCAATCCCGTTTCTAAATACCTTCTAGGCCCTCTCTCATCTTTTATTCTTTCTATCACTTTGCTTTCTGTTGCTCAATTTAACATTGAATGAATAAGGAATGAAACTGCATGTAGAATCAATATGACTTATGTGACTGTGTGGTTAGCATTGTCAACTTACTAGGATTTAGGATCACCTAAATGACAAGCCCTCTGAATATGTCTTGGAGTCATGGTCTACAATAGATCTGTAGAGGTGGAAAGAGCTACTTTAACTATGGGTAGCATGACCTGGGGTCCTAAAGTGAAGAAAAAGGAGGAAGTGAGCTAACTGCTAGGACTCCCCTTTCTCTCTCCTTTCTGACTATGGATGCAGTGTGACCAGCTGCATCAAGCTCTGGCTGCTCTGACTCCTCCACAGTTATAGACAGTATTCTTGAACCTCTGAACTCCACATAGCCCATTCATTCCTTCCTTAAGTTGCTTTTGTCAGGTATTTCATCCCAGGGCCATGGAAAGTAACTAATACAGTGATCTTACAGACACTAGACTTTGTAACTTGGAAATATAGAGCAATTAGTTTAAATGCCCAAGATGGTCTACAACGGTTTAATAATAGAAAGGGGGCATTTTCTGCCACTTTATAAATTGATTAAAAATAGAAAAAAGAACATGTAGACTTTATTGTATTAAGGGTCTAATATGGCCATGTGTGCCCCAGTCAGACAGTTGAATGACTTTTAAGACTTACATTATTTATTTGGGTTGACACAGCTAAATTAAATGTTCTTTTCACTCAAAACCTTTTTTTTTTTTTTTTTGGTTTCGTTTTTCGAGACAGGGTTTCTCTGTGTAGCCCTGGCTGTCCTGGAACTCACTCTGCAGACCAGGTTGGCCTCGAACTCAGAAATCCACCTGCCTCTCCCTCCCAAGTGACTCAGAATCTTAACAATCAGGGTTTCCATGTCTCTGGATGATTTTGAAGAGAAAAGGCAAACTGGATATAGGTCTAACTTCCTTCTCATTTGAATGAGCTGTGAACATTTAAATGAGAGGTCAAACACAAAGAAACACTGTTCAGAGGTGAAGACAAGATCCACACAGAGAAAAAGAAACAATGTCAGATGGAAAGTTGATGTTTTTGAAGGAAACCGTATGTAGACACTAGATGGCTTTATGTTTCCCTCTGGGACTTTATCATTACTAAATCATGAACTCACTGAGGGGGCATGAGCTGTTTTATTCATCATAGGGCCTTCTGCTGGCCCTTGTGTGATGCTTGACCAAGGCTACATCAAGATACGATTTCAGTGACTGAAGAACAGTTTATGAAGATTACAAGGTCTAAGTGAGGTGACCCTCTCTTCCCATCCTAGCTTAGCCACCTACTAACTCCCTGATCTCCAAATGACTCAGCCTCTCTCCTTCTTCTTTGATCTTTACAAGGATTTAACTTTAAATGTATTAAGCCTACAGACATTTTAATACAAATAAAAATGGGCTGCTGGGGGAGCTCAGTGCATAAAGAAAGGCATTTGTCACCAGTTCTGGGAAACCACAGGGTGAAAGGATGGAAGGATGATGCCTGGAAGTTGTTCTAAGACTTCTGCATACATGCCGTGGCATATTCTTGCCATTCTTCCATTTAAAAAATACTTTTTAAACTTAAACAATTAAACAAATTCTTATGTGTACATTATACTGCTTTATCCAAATTTTTCTTTTGTGGTGCTGGGGACGGAACCCTGGGCCTCATGCATGCTTGGAAAACTCTTTACTACTGAGTTCCCACATTTAGAACAGTTTTGTCCATTTCTAAAGTGATGAAGCAATTAATTTAGATTTATTTATTGTTCTAAAATGAAATAATTGAGTTTAAACCTACAATGTCTATTCTTTTACTCCCACCCTACAAAGAAGTTGTTACCATGATATTTGTATTCACAATCCCCAGGAGTGCCTTTATACTTTACATACAAATGTAACCATAAACAAAGTAATGTTGAGCATGTTTTTTTTTTTTTTTTTTTTGATCATCGATGGTGGCAATGCTCTCAGAGTCACTATGCTATACTGTTTCCTGTGCATGACAGCAGCCACTTCTTTACAATAGCAAATGCAAGTTACATAGAAGTAGTGACTCTTTGTTTCATTGTCAGCAGCAAGGCTGGTATCTGACCATTGATAGCACTAATTCCTTAAATGATACAACAGAGTCAAAATTCATGAAGATGGAAGCCTCATGACCATGTCTTGGCTTAAGATATTAGAACCTTTTAGCTCTACAGTTTTGTGATTGTGTGTTCATGTTACTGAGTATAATTCCAAATATAGTCTATTCCTTCCAATAAGGCATTTTTTTCGAGATGAAATTTTCCCTTTCTCTTAACTCTAATAATTGTTCCATAAAAGTGGGTTTCCTCCCCGTATTCAATGCCTTTACCTCTTGTTTTGTAGGAACACTATGGCTCTCTCAAAGGTCTTACCCTCAGCTGGATAGGAGATGGGAACAATATCCTACACTCCATCATGATGAGTGCTGCAAAATTCGGGATGCACCTTCAAGCAGCTACTCCAAAGGTAGGAACACCGACTGGCCTGAAAAACCTTCTCTGTTGATCAGAAGCTATTACCCAGTGAAACAAAGCTTCTGATCAAGGCATGGATAGCTGAAGGCATACAATTTCAGCTACATTACTAACTCTTCTGTTGAGTAACTATCTAGCTTCTTAAGAGCCCAATTTTCCATTTCTGTAGAGGAAATGAGTCTTGGCTGATGCCTTTTATTCCATGAGTCTGTGACAATAGTACATCTGAATTCTGCCTTTGGATGCCCTGATACTGGTCATTATGATGACTAGAGTCTTTGTGTGTTATTATCACACAGGCAGAATAATGCAGTGAAAGCCAGATCATGGAAAATCTTCAGGGCATGGAAATAGTGTTGTAATCTCTCCAATGCAACAATTTGATTAAAAAAAATTAAAGAAAGAAAAATGTCTGACCTATGTGAAGCACCCATTGCTAGCATCCAGCTTTAGATTTCAAACCCCATCACCAGGGGGGTCTCTGTGGAGTTTTAAATCTGAGTCTCATGTGTCCACAAAAACTACCCCTACATGTTTTTTTTTAATCCTGATTATACACTCCCATACAATGTATGGTAAGCACACTCATATCTGAACTCTTGTTATTTAAGGAAATGGTGATAGTTGTTGCCTCTATACAGAACTAGAAGGTTCAAGGATAGAGGTAGCAGAGAGTTTTTCCCTTCCTCCTCCTTCTCCTCTTCTTTCTCCTTCTCCTCCTCTTCTCCTTCTCCTTCTCCTTCTCCTTCTCCTTCTCCTTCTCCTTCT